GTGACACAATGGTATCAGCGTCTTATAATGACACTAATAAAAGTAGAAACAGATCATATTTATAATTCTCATAAAAAATTATCCTGTTCGGGGTCATTATTCTAAATAAGAGAAATATGTTTTTGACCAACTTTTGTAGAAGCTATGTCCTCTCTCTACGATAACCTCCGATTCCAACCTGAGACCTGTGCGGAATCCCATGCCGCCGACGGAGGGGCACAGACCGATGGCTGGAACATCAACGTATGCAGCAGCGGTAAGGGACCCCGTCCCCATCCGACGCGTTCTCGCCCAAAGTCGCTTTGGATCTATTGGGTTCACCGGTCCAAAGGTTTGGCTCGTTCAAAGGTACCCCAACTATCTCTTTCGATTTGCATTGGTTGGCACCTTCGCAAATGGTAGGCCAGCTCTTTCTGCAATTCGTAAGGCCTTCGAGGCATTACGGTTCTCAGAACCCTACATCGTCGGCCTACTGCAATCCATGCTTGGTTTTAAGTTTGGATGGTAGATTCGACCCCAGAAATTAGAAAATAATCGCTGAAGTACTGTTCATGCTTTGTTTAAGGTGTGTAGAAATCTGGAATTATGAGTTTTCTTTTAAAAATTGGGACTGATGTGGGACTCGTCATCTCCTGACGAGCCCAGTGAACCTTGATTTAAGTTGTTTCTAACCTCAGGTCTGAAACGTAGGTTTGGGTGCGAAGAAAAGAGAAACAGGTACTGTTATCATCATTTTTGAGTTCGAGCCTGCTACCTGCTATGGCTTGTTCATATACGATTTGAGTTTTGCAGAAGATTAGGCGTTGTTTTTTATTCTGTATTTTTACGCTTGGCTATTCTTCGATGGTTAGAAAGAAGGCTGAGTCTGTGAAGCCATCTTCTGTACAAACCAGGTCTATGTTTTTAGTCCTTGCTGATACGGATGAAGAGTTCCAGCTCTTAATGGGAATGGCATCAAGAAGATTGAAATCAAACCTGGGGCGATTTCTATTGATGCAAAAGCTACTGCCAATGCAGGGGATGCTGCTACTACGCTATCTGGGCAGCTTGGTTTGGTCAATCCTGCTACTAAGCAACCTGGAATTGCTAAAGAAGCTATTGTTGGTGTAATTCCTAGGCCAAATGGGAAGGAAACAGAACCTGATGGTGGCTGTTGATAAACCATGGAATGCACTAAATTGAGGTAACCGTGATCCAACTCATTGGCTTAAATTGAGGTATGTACCGCCTAAGAGTTAAACTTTAGACTTTTTTTATCGTATCTTACCCTCCTTGATTGATTGTGTTTTAGGAATGATAGGGTTAAAAGGCATTTGGTTAGGGAGCCTCTTCATTTAATAAAAATGCTTCACACAGAGGTACTACTGTTTTTTCCTTCATTTGTAGTCTATGTGATGAATAATTGAATACTATTGTGCTGATTTTTTATGTGGGCAGAATTCTTTAGTACTGTAAATGTTAATTGAACACTATTGTGCTGATTGTTTATGTGTGCAGAGTTCTTCAGTACTGGTAAATGTTTTCCTTCACCTAATTTAAAGTTAGTAACTCATATATGCTATTTGGTGGTATTTTCTTGGTGTTTTTCTTCACTGTAGGCGGTCAACTGTAATGAAGGTATTCTACCAATTTACTTTTTATTATACTTCTATTGTTTTACGGATTAGTGTACTCAAAGTTTAATAGAAAACATTTTAAATGGTCAAACATATACACTCATCTGTATATATCAAAGTCATATAAAGACTCTGCCTCATTATAGTACGTAATTGTAATGTTGAAATGTGCTTCTCAAGTATTTTGGAAACAATGATTTGAGTGGAGAGCTACCAACAAACATCACAAATCAAAACTTTATTGCCTTGGGTGTACTTCTCAAAGTAATAAATAATACATTAACATTCATTAGTTTGTGCTTTTTTTTGTGTGACTCACCCAAAACCGGCATTTGAATGAAAAAATTCAACTAAAGTTACATCTCATTTTGTTTTTATCATGCTTTGACATGTTCTCAGAGATATTTCATCACTGCGAGTATCTTTTCATTCAAAATATATTGTACCTCAGATATTATTGGTTTATCGATGAAAACTTGATGTTTATAGAGATCAAACCTAGAACTGAGTCGGTATATCCTAGCCTTCTCTTCGGTATCTCCTGACTTTTTGTATTAGTAGGGGGGCCTATTTGACACTTTTCTCTATTTTAATGTACATTCGGTGTATATTAGTTTCACTTCTACTCCTATCTTGTATAGTATTTCATTTTTGCAGGATCCTCACTAGGTAATACTTTTGAGATGTTTTGGTACTCTTAGATTTGCCTTTGATTTACCATTAACTGGTATTGTCTCTGCCCAGGACATTTTATGACTAGTTTGAGACTTGCATGATTCCTTCAAACTTTAACAACTTTGTTCTCCTATTTATGTAATATAGTATAAATTTAAACTCAAATAAAAACTTTGGATCATTTTGACACAACTTTTCTAACTTTCACGTGAGAAAACATGATCATAATATGTTTATTTAGCCCAAGTTTGGCAGATCCAATACTTTAGCAATTTTATTTCCTTCTAATTACCCATGAACTTCTTTACTCTTAAACTTATATTTCCTTCTAATTAACTATCACCTTTGTTATTTTATTTTGACAGCCACTATTTTAGCAATATTGTTGAAGGATGACTTCATAAGCTTATATTGAAGGCAACTAGAGATCAAAAATGTAGATTCTTTGATAAGCTGAGACAATAATCATGAAGTTGTTCTATTGTGTGCTCATTTGTAAGGACATTTTTTTCTGGCTTATCATCTTGATCACTCAGATTTTAAACCACTCACTCATCTAATTGCTTGGGCGAGACTTGTTAATAATATATTTGGTTGTAATGAAGAACAAAAGACACTTGTGTTCACCTTTTAGATATTCACTATGAATTTATTTGCTTTTTAAAATATCATTTCAGGTAACTCTTTTCATTAATCTATTTCAGCTTCACTAAACAGAACCAGACATATTTCAATCACAGTCCTTACGGTTTAGACATATCAGGGACGTGAGAGTATCTTTTTTAGCTTCCCCTACTTAGACACACACCATCTTATATATTCTTTCTCTATTTATCTGTGAATTGGTTAGTCTTTAAACAGGTCGCTAGAGATGCTATTCATTTTTTTCCAAGTAAGTCCTTTTACTATAAAATAGGGATTTAAATGTGCGCTTCTTAGCTTCTGGCTTCTGCTACTCGCCCTTTGACGGGTAAGTTTATTTTACTAAAAATTTCAAATTTTCAGCGTGCAAGTAGCAAGTTGTTGCTAGTTTACTTGTGTATTTGTGTTAAGTTTTTGTAAATTTTGTTTATTTTCTTGTTTAGAATTTTGAAAGTAGCCTGTTGTGTTCCGTGATTCCATTCTTTGCTTAGTTGTTTTATTTTGTAAATTAGAGTTGAAATTTTACCTATTTATAGAAAAGATGTACTAAGTTGAACTAGTGTGTGTTTACTGTAACGTCCACTTTGCAGGTGAAGTATGATAGAAGCAAGTGAGGTTTCAAACAATAAAGTTGGTAGCATAAGAACTGGTTTCATTCTGTGCAAGTCTGCAAAAGAATATATGTGAAGGCCCGAGGAAGTGTGGTGTAAAAGTTAGACTTTTTAGTGTTTTGTTCTTGTATATTACTTGTTGTTTTGGGGTGTGCCCCCATGAATTATGTCGTATGCAGTATGTACATTCACATTTATGTAAGAAATTGAGATATAATTAAAAATATTTGAATTTTGGTTATTTATTAGTATTGAATTATATTACACACACACATATATCGAAATCAATGTTTAATTATGATACTAATGTATCATATATCTTTATGATACTAGAGTGTCAAAAAAAGTTATGATATTATAATGTCATAATTTTATGTGATATTTTATTGTCATAATTTTGTGACACTAATCTGTTTAGCAATCAGTGACACTAAATTTTGTGTCACTTGCCCCACTTTTCTGTGACACTTTCAGTGTGTCATTAAATCGTTTAGTGACACTAATTTAATGTCACTATAAGCTATTTTTTTACTAGTGTTATATAGGAGGCTCTGTCTGGCCGTCGCCATTTGGGGTAGTTCCCGGTGGAATTGTTTGATGAAAATTTTTGAGCATCTTATTCGTTAAGTCTAGTTTACTCATACCAAATTTCAGCTAACAATTCAATTAGGAAGACATTCAAATGAATTCTTGAAGATAAATGCGCTTTAAACTGATAATAAGAAAAAGTAACTTTTTCCAAATTTTTGATTTCGCGAAGGCATTCAAATCGGGAAGGCATACCAAATTTTTGACAAACATGTAACTTTTGATTTCGCTCACTGATAATAACAAAAAGTAAGTTTGGAGTTACTTTTCTGACTGGATTGATTAAAGTTATCGCAAATGATCATTTTAGCTATTTTTCCATACAAAATTTTCTGTACTTAGTTAATAAAATATATTTTAATTTCTTTCCATAAATCAATATATGGTGTTTTCTTTTGGACTGTTTTCAGTCCCAGACCAGACCAGACTTGACTTCCGTAGTTATAAAATTCACAGAGACCAAACGTTTACCAGACCAGACTTGATCAGACCAGACCAGACCAACAAATTTCAGTCCAAAATAAAACATCTATAATCATCCAAATTTCAGACTTGATCTGTATTGGCTGAAGTTGCTGTGGATGACCATTTTTGCTATTTTTACATATATATTTTTCTTTATTTTATTAATAAAATTTATTTTAAAAATATTTTTTTCTTAAATCAGCATAATAAGTCGATGCAGCCACTTCAGTCAAAACTTTATAAATTTCAGCAGAATCAGCCCAAACAGCCGATTTTGATGATACCAAACGGGCTCTAAATAAAAAATACCTCTCGCTAATGTAAAATAAAAATGTGTAGTACAAGTATTTATTTATGCCATTTAGGGATAATAATGTGCGAGACACCTTTTCAGGATATTCCAATAGAAGTACTGTATATAATTTTAATTCCGCATATTTCCTGCTTTGGAATCAATAAGTCATGGATAAACAGGTCACTTGGGCCAAAGTCAATTGACACTATGTGCCGTGGGGATTATCACCATGTTCGGTTTCACATCTACATCGCGGGATAGATCCACCACGGTACTGTAACTGCACTGGTGCCTAGCCATGAAAACTTACCAATTATAATCGCTAGGTCATTGCAGGCAACCAGAAGATGGGTTCAAAAGCAGTAGATGATATGATGGAGGCCTCATCAGGAGTTCATTATTCCGGATTTCATCTGCAGGGCCCCAATGGTACTGAGCTTGAGCAACCAACAACTTCACTGAGTGGCAATGTTCCTAAACAGCCCTTTGTCATTGGTATGTTATGCAAATTAATGTCAAGTGCTTGATTTGCGCTCAAAATTGATACTTTCTGCTATTACATTTTCATATTTCTGCAGTACATATAACACAGGCTTTTTATGGGATGGGTACCCTATCGTATATTCACTGATTTGTTTGTTGGATAATTTATGGCTTTCTTGAGCTGTTTCATGAAATCTATGCTTGACTCAACAACACTTACCCGAGGACAATAAAATCTTGCCCACAACAAACGGTTTTGAGCGGAATAGAACCTATATGTGGGTCACATCATCCTCATCCTCTTGAAAACAACATATCCTCGAATCAAGGACTTCTTAATCAATTAATGAATGAAATATTGAAAAATTTGGAAGGAGAACTTTATGTGCTTCCAAACTGGACTTCATTTCAGTTGAGATAAGATTTCACAACTTGAGCCTCCAAAGTTTCACACTTTTCTCCACAGGCGTTCTTTTTGTTTTAATTCTGCGCGAGAGTAACATCTACAGCTATATCTTTATCCACTTCTCCAATGAGAACCTTTTCTGAAGTAAGTACCCATTGGGGGCTTACCATTGGGTGGTTTTGGCTGCCCTTTGGAGTTGCTTCTGTCTAAATGGACTCCATCTTAATCAAATAATGCAATTAGTAAGCTTTGGATTACCACTTTGAACCGGAAAAGAATCCCACCGGAACAAACAAGTATAAGGAGAAGAGAACTTGTATTAGTTTGAGTATTTGTCCTCTGAAGTATTGATATTATTCCACAGGCCTTGGTTTATGCCTCATGTGGCAGTATCTGAATCATTTATAACAAAATCCTTCTTTAAATTTATTAAAATTAAAATGTGAGAATGAACTGGGAAGTTGGTCAGCTCATATAGGCCTTGCTTGTAGTTGCATGTCTTTAATGCTGCAAGCTGTAAAAGTTACCTTCTAATCATAAAACCTAGCATTAACATTTCATAATTTGCATCAAAATAGTCATTCTTTGTGCTTATGTTCGTGCTTGAGATCTGCTCCCCCATCCCGCCGCATGCTAGATATGTTTCTGGATAGTGCATGCTCTTATGAATATTCAACCTGTAGGAGTTGCTGGAGGAGCTGCATCAGGGAAGACCACCGTTTGTGATTTGATTATTGAACAACTTCATGATCAGCGTGTTGTTCTAGTTAATCAGGTTTTCTTGTGTTTAAAAGTGTACAATATGCTTCTGGTCTATTGCAAAAGCAATTTCTTTAACTTATAGTTATTATGAAGTTTAATCTCTTCATCTCCTACCACAAAACATTTTTGTAACTTGAAGGATTCTTTCTATCATAACTTGACACCTGACGAACTTACAAGAGTTCAAGAATACAACTTTGATCATCCTGGTTAGTGCAGTTTCTAACAACTTCTTCTCTCTCTTAACTTTTTCCTATTAATAATAGTGCTCTATTGCTCATTCGTTTTATGCAGATGCGTTTGACACTGAGCAATTGTTGTGCATCTTGGATAAACTGAAGCACGGGGAAGCAGTAGATATTCCCAAATATGACTTTAAGACTTACAAAAACATTGCATTGAGAAGGGTAATCTCTGCTAAGCATGTTTTTTGAGCTTCTGTGAAATTACTACTCCAGCCGTCCCGTTTTGTTTGTCCCATATTTCTTTTTAGGCTGTCCCAAGATGTTTTTTTCCATCCCAAATTTGCCTATATTTTGTGGCTCCTAATCATTCTCGCTTTTAAGAACTCATTATTAACCGCACAACCCCACATTCACTTGGTATTTATGCCAAAGTCAATGTCCCAAACTTAATGGGATTGAGGCAGTAATATATATTTGATTCTTTTTCCTCTATAGTAAGGTGGTATATTGACTACTTTTTGGTGAACACATGGCAGGTAAATCCATCAGATGTTATAATTCTAGAAGGCATTCTTATTTTTCACGACCCTCGCGTCAGAGATCTGATGAATATGAAGATATTTGTAGATATAGGTTCTCTCATTTTCATGCTATAGTATTTGTGATGTTTTTTAACTTATTATATGTGTATTCTAATGACTATCTGAGGCTGCGTTTAGTTGCCTTGCCCTTCATTAAGATCTGTCTTCATTAATTCATGTATTTCACAATCTGAAAATTCAGTGCAGATGCTGATGTACGCCTTGCAAGGAGAATAAGACGTGACACAGTTGAAAAGGAGAGGGATATTGCTATGATCCTGGATCAGGCAAGTGATTATATTTTATCTTATGGATTTTGTACTCCACTCACTCGGGAGATTGGGGGGGGGTCAGGGTTTTAAATCTTTCTCTTCTTCCATCAATTGTTGCCTTTCATTTAAATCTAAACTTCCGCTATCTTATACATTAGCTTCTTATGTATCAAGTTATCAACCAATCATCTCTTGATAATTGTGCAGTATTCGAAGTTTGTCAAACCAGCTTTCGATGACTTCATTCTTCCAACAAAAAAGTATGCAGACATCATCATTCCCCGAGGTGGAGACAATCATGTTGCTATTGATTTGATTGTCCAGCACATAAGGACAAAACTTGGTCAACATGATCTTTGTAAAAATTATCCCAATCTCTATCTTATTCCTTCGACTTTTCAGGTACCAACTTCCATCTGTTGTAATTTATATGTGATCTAGTCTCCAATAAACAGTTAATCCCTCTTTTTTCCATATTTCTATTATCTAAGCCCTCCATATTAAAAGATGCCGATTCTATTATTTTCTTGTAGCCTTGTATTGATTGTTATTACTTCCCATCCAGATACGAGGCATGCATACTCTTATCCGTGATTCCCAAACGACGAAACATGATTTTGTATTTTATGCTGACCGGTTGATCCGCTTGGTAGGTGTTTGTATTGTAAAGCGTTCTCCCTTGTATGGAATTGCCAGCATTAGTAGTCATAGCTGAATGCAATGGTTGTTTTTACTTATAAATACAATTGTATGATTTACCTGAACTAGGTAGTTGAACATGGTCTGGGGCATCTGCCATTTACAGAAAAGCAGGTCATCACCCCAACAGGTAACTGCAGTATTAGTGTATTAAGTTGTATCTTGCATCAATAACTCTTGAGGTTGTTTTAAGTGGGCACTCCCTTTGAATGTGTGATGGGTATCTTCTGATCTCATAATAATGTATTCTAAACCATTGTTTGGTGTTGATAAAGAGTGTGGGTGGAAAGAAAAATGTGTTAATGAGGTTTATTTTATGTTTTGTTTGGTATGAGAGAAATAGGAGATAAAAAGTGTGTAATTTCTAAAAAGACAAAAAGTCCCATATCTAAAACAGCACCACATTCTGGCACAGAAACACTACATATAACCCAAAATTTAGCATATATACGGAAATGTGTATGAACATGTTCTCTCTGTCCTTCCCTTCCCACCCAGTGAAGGAAGAAAATCAGGATGGGCCCCCCCACTAGTTCTCTCTCTTCCTCTCTTGTTTCATTTCTAACCAAACAGATGGTAGAATGTTGAATGTTCTCTCCTCCCACTTTCTCTCTTCTCTATTTCTCTTTAAACAGACAAACCAGATATTTGTAACGTTTTTTGAATGTGCAGGCTCTGTGTACACGGGTGTTGATTTTTGTAAGAGATTATGTGGCGTCTCAGTAATTAGAAGGTAAATTAGTAATATCATGCTGCTAGGTCATATCCTCAGTTTCTTTGTGCGCTATAAAGCTTGTGTAACGCAAAACTTTTAGTGTATACAGTGGGGAGAGTATGGAAAATGCTTTGAGGGCATGTTGTAAGGGTATAAAAATTGGAAAAATTCTAATTCACCGAGAAGGTGATAATGGCCAACATGTAAGTACCCCCCTCCTGCATTTTTTTTGTATTTGACTTAATTGTTGTAATATATTACATATGGGTCATTACTGTGCAGCTAGTCTATGAAAAACTACCACATGACATAGCAGAGAGGCAAGTCTTATTGCTGGATCCTATCCTGGGAACTGGTTAGTGCGTCATCCTACTCCATTAATCACTGTCCTCCCCTAAAAAAGAATTGGGGTACAGTTAATCTCATATATTGAGTAATAATAATTAAAGTTGTTCATATTTCATAGTTAGACTTGAAGGGGAGCCACGATGCACCAGTTACAAATCTCTCAATGTTGCTGGAGGCCACGGGTTCAAGTCTTGGGAGCACCCCTCTTGTCAGAATGACAAGGGCCGGCTTGCTTCTTATGCACCTGTGTGGTGGACCCTTCCCCAGGCCCTTGTTTTGTGGGGACACCAATGTGCAATGGGCCGCCCCTTATACTGTATAGTTAGACAGCTTAGACTTACTATGGTACTTTTTGAGTTAGATAAGAAGATAAGAGTATGACTTTGGGGAGAGCGAAGTGTACATAGGGCGTACTTGTTACGGGCGTGGTTGGGGAGATAAAAAAGAAGAACGATAAGTATGATAGTTGGAAAAACAACCCAGCTTCCCGCCCTAGACAAGGAAGTGTCCATCAGTTCCACCCAGCGTACAAGAAGAATTATTCTCCAGAAGATTGATGGTCTAGTATTAGAGTATTCCTAATTCTATTAAAATCTTTCTATTAGGAAATTAACTAAAATACAATATCTCTACTAATAAGAAACTGCAACTAATAATAACCTTAGGAAACTAACACCTAATACTTTAGGAAACTAACATTAGGAAACTAATAATAATAATGAATAATAAAAATGATAGTAATAATGGGCGTTTTTCTTTCCATATCAATACTTTTCGTTTCTCTCTACTTATTACGGAGTACTACTTATTATTATTATTAATAATAATTTATTATTATTATATTATTATCATATTATTATTATTATTATAATTATTATATACGAAGTATTATATATAACTCTGATGTTATATATATCGATTCATGTTAGTGGATCCCAAACTCTTAGGATTATGGCTTGGATGATGTTGTTATAACCAATTGAACGATTTATATGTTCTAATATTTTCAACCCTTTTGTGTATGGTCAAACTATTTAACCATATAGGGAATTCAGCAGTTCAAGCTATTTCTCTACTCATAAAGAAGGGTGTCCCGGAATGTAACATTCTCTTCCTAAATCTCATATCTGTGAGTCCATATATCATTTTGCCATTTTTTGCTTTGACAATGGTTTCTCTTACAAGATGGAACCCGATAAATTGTGACGAATCTGCATGTTGTGTCTGTTGAAGGCACCTCAGGGAGTTCATGTTGTTTGCAAACGTTTCCCAAGAATAAAGATTGTGACGTCTGAGATTGAAACCGGCTTAAACGAAGATTATCGTGTCATTCCAGGAATGGGCGAGTTTGGGGACCGATATTTTGGCACCGATGAAGACTAAAACAACACCGTTTTTTTGTATTTTATTTGTTCCCAACAGATTCAATCCGGGTTTCATTTTCCCTTCACCTTTGGGATAATGTCTGTCATTATATTTAGAAAGGACACAGTGCTCAAATTTTGTTGGACTTGACACTTAAAGAATAAACATTTCAAATTCTTATATACGAAGTGTGTAATTTCATAATCTGTTTCCTTCTCACTAATTAAGCTCATGATCACTTGCCTCAGCTTGCTCAATGTATAAAAGCTGTAATTTCAGAGTTATTCGTGAAGAGATATGAGTTGGTCGGTGAAGAGAAGGGATTCATAAGACAGATTGTAGTTGATGCCGGACTATTATCCATCTTATTGGGCCTCTTAGTTGATGTCAGACTGTATCACTTAATTGTTAATAGTTGTTATCATTAAAAATTAAATAACTGAGAAAAAAAATTGAGAAAATTTCTACTACCCTTTGAGGGTCGGTTATAATTACAGATATTGCTCTAAATAGGAGTAAAAACGTTTTGAAATTTCAAAATAAGATTATCATGTTTTTTTATTCCTTGAATAGGAGTAATATGCCAAGTTTGAAAAAAAATGTCATGTTTAAAGCTTAGTAATGTCAATCTTGACATAAATTTACTCTTATTCAGGAAATAAAAAACGTAACGTGAGATATGTAATTAAAAATAATTTATAATAACTCAACACTAAAATTATCAAAAAATATTACTCCGTATATTTGTAACTTAAAAAAGTTTTAAAGTTTATCTAGGAAAAAGTCTTTATACCGTCTCAACCGAGATCCAGCTCAACTCGAGTAAGGCTTGAATTCCGTTCAAATTTCACAAATTAATACTCCGTATTTATATGTTCGAGATCAAATAAGATGCTCACAATCGAAAAGTGACCCGCCAAATTTCTTTGATGCGCCAATTTATTAAGATGTGCAATTATTACAAACTCATTTAAATTTTTAGGTTTCAATTCCTGATCATTCTTCCAAACTTCCCGTCGCTTTATCAGTTGAGTTACCGTGCATAAACAAGAATAGGCTGTTAGGTATCGTCGATGAAATGATTGCGAATTTAGATGTATTAGACTGAATCTATTAAAACTTCTACTAAATGAATATTAATGCACTTTTAATGTACATCAGGCTCATTATGTTGAATATTAGAAGTCTAATTTTAAAGTCATGATCTCTACATCATATCTTCTAATTCACTTTTCTTTTTTCTTTTTTTCCTTTTATAAGTATTTCTTAAATTATACCTATAATCAACTTTTGTGAATTTCAATATGTGACTCTAATGTAATATGATACTTTTTAAATATCTATTGATGTGACATTTTAAAATGAGTATAATATCAATACTAACGAGCATATGTAACTTACAAAATGAGCATTCATATGAAAATCATAAACTTAGTTAGTTGAGCATCAAGACATGATTTTCATTGATGATTAGAAATATATATGCAATTGAGTATCATGATCTTTGCTTCCGTGTCTATAATCAACTCTTATGTGAATGTATGTAATATGATACTTTTTAAATATGCATTGATATGAAATTTTAAAATGAGACATAAAACCAACATAAGATGATGAACATACGTAACTTGCAAAATGAGAATCGAAAATTCAAAAACTCATTTGTATTTTGTAATGTGCACAATTATTCATTGCGTGTGTTCATTTCTTTTAGTCGCTATACTCATTCGAATTTATATCATAAATCCTTCTATAATACGTACATCTAGTAGATTCGTTATGACAAATATAATAATTTTATATTAAAAATAATTTATAGTCTTTCGTTCTTGAACTACAAATATAATGTTGTTCTTTTTACGAAGTTTACTCATGTGCATTTATTTTCCAGTATATTCATTTTAGTATAACACAAAACTCATGTTAGTAATTAACACACAATATTTAATAAATTAATAAATATTCATCTCTAGATTAAAAATAGAAAAATCTATTGTTTTATATAGTAAAGCTCAGTTATAAATTGCTGATGTGTCTTACTCTTATTGGTTAACACAATTTAATTATAAGATTTAATTATAACATTAATTAACTATTTAACTTAGAAACCGTTCGAGAGATAAACTAGGAGAAAAAGGTGGAGGAATAAATTTAAGAAAATGGTGAGAATGCAAACATGTGAACATTCAAAAATGGTGGAGTATAGAAACGTAAACATGTAAACAAAATTTAATTAAAAGATTTAATTATAACATTAATTTACAAATCGTAGGAGAGAAAAAATAGGAGAAATAGTTGGAGTACTAAAGTAGATAAAATATACCGGAGTACAAAACTACAAATTAAGTATATTTCGATTATTAATATACTTAGTTTCGTATGATAAAAAAAAATCTTAGTTTGGTTTATGATACAAACGGTGGAGTCACTTTTCGTTTTGATTATTAATTTCGATTTTGGTAAATACGTAGTATATGTATATTTCTAATTATAAAAGCTAGGCATACCTAGCTTTTGCCAAAAGAAATTAAGCATACGTATCTAGATAAAGTTACTTCAGATTTTTTTTTGGACTAAAATTATTGATCTGATCAGTTTAGTTTGTTTAAGTCTGATTTGGTCTGCTCTATTTAAGTCTGAACTGATCTGGTGTGATATATTTGGGACTAAAAACAATATAAAAGAAAACATCATTATTATAACGTATACAAACGCAATGAAAAATAATTATATCACTTCATTATATTAAAAATCTTTAAACAATGGACTGTAATAAATCTAATAGGACTCTAATACACGTGAATACGTGATGTGATGCACAAGGTAAATTTCTCCATTACTTCATTCCATCCTTCATCTTATAATTAAGGGAAATTATCCTAAATAAGACTAAAAACGTTTCTATATTTGAAAAAAGGACTATCATATTTTTATTCTCAAAATAATACTCCCTTTCGTCCCATTTATATTGTCCCGTTTTATCTTTTCGGGAAGTCCCACTTAAATTATCCCATACCATATTTGGCAAAGTTTGTGTGACTCTAAATCATTCTTACTTTATCAATTAATATCAACCACGCAAACCAACTTTTCTTAATAACCGTGCCACCCTCTTCCGTCCCAATATAAATGGGACGAAGGTAGTACTAATTAGTATCATGTTTTGTCAGTACCAAACTTTAAACATAATAATATTTTCCAAACTTTGCAGTAATTATTTCTATTTTGAGAATAAAAAACATGACAGTCATATTTTGAAATTTTCAAACTTATTTACTCCTATTTCAAAAAATTTCTACTAAAAAATTATTGTAACCATTACCATATAAAAACAATATAATCACAAAATTCTTATACCTAAAATGGTGATTCCTCTCCCGACTTCCATGATCCAGTATGATTTATCGAAGAGATCTCAAATAAAAAGTAGAGTTGATCGACCTTTACGTCCAAGATTGGTCACACGCGGAGACAATGTCCGTCAAGTCAATCACTTTTCACGGATATAAAAGTATATATATAAATTAGAACTTATTTAAATGTTGAATATCTTCTCTAAAGCTCTAATACTGATTTTTTTAGATATATGTTTGTATATTTTTTAAGGTAAGGGCACAATCAAATTTATGTGGGTTGAATGTAAATTAAGATCAAATTTTTATTTAAATAAATTATATTACAATAATTTTAATGTAAAGGAATCATAGAATTTTATTAACACGAGTTTGAAATTTAGGTATTAAATGTTTATCACATTCAAACTTAATTTTTGATGTACAATTCTTTAAGCACGTACAACGTTTTTAGGTATTATTGACAATTCTTTTAGGTATTAAAAATTTATCACATTCAAATTTAACTTTGGGTGTTTGATTCTTTTAGTACCTAATTTTTTTTTAACTTTTAACTTTACAAATTGGAAATAAGAAAAATCTTCTCATATTCGTTACCTGAGATATATTCTAAGTTTTGTTCATCATACTTTTAATTACATTTTTAGGGCATTACATTTCCATTCTCTCATTCTGGAAGACATTTTACGATAAACGTTGTTATAACATCAAACAAATGGACGTTAGAAGCAATGTATATGGATTTTGTTTGTGCAATTATAGTTTTAAACTTTTGTGTACTAAGTCAACGATGAACAAAAATAATACTACCTCTCTCTCATTTAAAGGTTCCAAACCACTATTGACATGCTCAACTTATATCACAAAAATATTTTGCTTACTAAGATAGTGTTTTTAAAGGTGTGACGTATGATAACTTATTACAAATCTATTGTTTTATATAGTAAAGCTCAGTTATAAATTGCTGATGTGTCTTACTCTTATTGGTTAACACAATTTAATTATAACATTTAATTATAACATTAATTAATTTAGAAACCGTTGGAGAGATAAACTAGGAGAAAAGGGTGGAGGAATAAATTTAAGAAAATGGTGAGAACAAAGATCAAGTTGCTTTATTGTTAGTCAAGTATCGTAAACTGAATCAGGAACCTCTCAATGGGATGGAGGGAGTACTACAAAATAATACTACAAACTAAATATAAAAAATTAATATTGTGTCTAAACTAACTTTCAAATATACATTTGAATGTTTCATCACAAAAAAAAATACATTTGAATGTGATAAAAAAAATTAAATTTGTATAAACATAGTTTTATTTTGTGGAACACAACACTTTTACGGCCACAATATTGTGGTTGTGAGCTATATCACAGCTACATTGGGGCGCAATGGCGGAGAAATTTTGATTCATATAAAATGGCCGCAACGTGGCATCATTGGTTTGCATTGGGCCGTAATACGTATCGCAACATCCGTAACAGCTGCAACTACAGTTGTAACCACAATTTAAAACCTTGCTATTAATTTAAGTGTAAATATATAATATACCTCCGCCTCACTAACATTGGGGCGGAAGAAGGTGGCACGGTTATTAAGAAAAGTGAGTTTTTATGTGATTGATATTGAATTGAAAAGGTAAAAATAAAGTAAGAATGATTTAGTGTCACACAAACTTTACCAAGTTTGGTATGGGGCAATCTCAGTGGGACTTCCCGAAAAAGTAAAATGGAATAATCTTAGCAGGACAGAGGGAGTACCAATTTATAATTGGTTGTGGTTAGTTCATAATTAAACTTTGGATCCTTTAAATAATTCACTTTTAAAGGGAAATGAGAAGAAATTTTGGGACATCCAAAAAATGAAGTTAGAAGAATTTTATGGGAAGAAAGT